CGTGCAGCACCTCCTGCCCTCGGGCGCCTGGGCATGCGCGGCCCCACCCCTGGTGCGCGGAGCATGCATGGCACTGCCCTGGTGCGTGGCGCATGCGCGGTGCCGCCCCTGCCCAGTCTGGCCTGGCCCGGCAGCCCCGCACAGCGCCCCCTACAATGGGGCGCCCTAGCCGGGTCAGCCTGTACCTTGGGCCGGCTCTGCCTAGAGGTGTGTAAGTCCCGGCTGGACAAAGCCCTGGCTGGGAGGGTTGAGCTGGGGTTGGTCCTGCTCTGGGCAGGGGGTTGGACGCGATGACTCCTGAGGGCTCTGCCCCCCTGGGGTTCTAGGGTCTTACCCACCCTTGTATAATCTAGGATAAGGGAGTTCAGTCCGTGGAACCCGGGGCTCCTTCACCGAGGGCTAGATTGTGGCTGGGACAGAGCTGCTGTCGCTGTGCTCCTTCCTGGCCTACTTGGGCCACACGCACACAGACATGGCATGCCCGGGACTGCTGCCCCCCGCAGGGTTAACCCTCGGCCATAGCCCCCCCGCACACCAGCCTGCCCAGGAGACTGTGTGGGGGAGACGGCCCTTTGCTTCCTCAGGCTGCTGAGCAAATCCTGGGTGTTCAGCTTGGGGACAGAACACGGAACTTCTGAACTGCTCCACCCTCAGGAATGGCCAATGGAAACATCAGTGTTAGCTGAAACAATTTGCTGAATTCAACCCAGATTTGCAAACTGGTTTGGTGCCTTCAAAACGCATTGGTTGGCACAATTACTGTTAAGTCCTCATTTTTTGCCCAGCTCTACTGCCAGCCGGGACCAGTACAACTGGGAACTCCCCCTCGGTGGTGCCCCTCTTTAGTGATTACAGCTGCGGCGTCTTGCTCCGTATGCAGGGTATGTGGTCACCCTGCTCTCTGCTTTCGCCCCGGGAGCCATCCCTCCTCAGCAGCAATTGCTGTTCTGACCACTCAGCGAAGCATTCAAAAGCACCACGCCCCAGGCATACCTCCGCTTCGCCGAGCCTTTGCAAACAGGAAATCAGGCCGCACGGCATGCGGCTATCACGGGCGTGTTAACATGGGCACCCTTCAGACCAGCTCTAGAAACAGGGATTGATGCTCTTCAGCTTCCAGAAATGTGAAATCTTCTAGGTGACAGAATCAATAACCGCAGGCCAGGCCGTTTTCTTCAACCCTGGTTTTCCAGGGCGAAATAGGGACATTTCTTTTGGGCAAACTTTTTTTTTGTGTGCAGATTCTCACCTGCCCCCGACAACGCCCAGAGCACCAAACGCAGCTTGATCTGGCCAAAGGCAAAATGATGCCGCAATAAACCCAGGGAGAGGAGCTGCATTAAGCCATACAGCCATTCAGCAAGCAACCGGGATGGAGATTTAAGGGCTATTGTGGAGAAATCCTTTAAGCCCATCAGCAGAGTGCAGCAACAAGAAAGGCAAATGGGAGTCGGGGATGAGTTTTGATGCTGGGAAGGAATACAAATGAGACGGGAAATTGGAACTGTAACAGGCAAGCCTGGCGTAGGTGTCGCTTTGCAGACGCTCTGCTTTCTCCTCAGCAGTTAGCAACGGCACCAGAAAGGGGGAGGGAAGTGGGGCAAACAGGAAATTCTGGGAATAATCGCTTGGAGGAAGAGCGAAAGAGTCTCTCCCTCGGGGTTCATCTACACAGCAAAGTCATTCCGGAATAACAGCCATTATTCCAAATAACTACGCGAGCGTCCACACAGCAATAGCGTTATTTCGAAATATTTCAAAACAACAGGAGGCTTATTCCGACTTCTGTAACCCTAGGCTGCGTCTAGACTGGCGTGATTTTCCATAAATGCTTTTAACAGAAAAGTTTTCTGTTAAAAGCATTTTCGGAACAGAGCGTCTAAAGTGCTTTTGTGGAAAAGCGTCTGTGGCCAATCTAGACGCACTTTTCCGCAAAAAAACCCCAATCGCCATTTTCGCTATTGGGGCTTTTTTGCAGAAAACAAATCTGAGCTGTCTACACTCAGGCTCAGGTCTAGGATGTGATTCCAAGTGAAAACCAGACAGGGAAAGTGCAAGACAAGGTGCCAAGTAGCTAACGTCCTGCGTGTGAGGAGCCTCCCTGAGGCTCAGTCCTCGTTCCAAGACGTGGGCATGTCGAATGGATTCACTCCAGCAGCCCAGACTGAAGTAGATTCATCCTGCCCATGGGACCCATGTTCAACCACTGCCTGAACTCCAAGCAGGAATTTGAACCCAGATCTGAAACTTCTCAGACGATTGTCCTAACCCCTGCCTATTGGGGGAGGGGCCGTGACTAGCTTGCTCTTTTTTCCCCCTCCAGAACATAAGGTACAAAGGTGTCGGTTTCATTCTGATGTAGAATGGGGGGGAAATGGAAATTTTAGTGGGATGAAAAAAACAACCCAGTCTCACGTTAAGTGCCACTAAAAACCCAGAGCAAAGTGTGAAGTCCAGCAGACAAGATGAACCTTCCCCTAACCAATCACCGGGGCCCAAGAGCAACATCACTAAGCTACAGCTGCCATAGTGTGAGGCAGAGTTGATACAGCATCTTACCAAGGAGACGTACACACTGTGCTCTTATCTTGGAGGCTTTACTTTTGTTCTTCTTTTGTTGTTTCCCTTAATAAAAAGTTTTTTAAAAACCCCACTGAGGTAGAAAATAACTGGCTCAGTAAAGAACGTAAGCACACAATCAAATCCTATTGAAATCAAGAGACTGAACCCTGGTTTAAAGTTAATTATGTGCTTAAGTCCTTTGCTGAAGAGGGATGCTTTCCTGAATTGGGGTCTAAGTGTGGAAAAACCTACAAGGAGAACAGACTATGGATAGCACATGGCCCTAATCCAGCCGGTAAAGGCAAAACGAGATCCAAGCTAGACAAACTGAAACTGGAAATAAGCGGCACATTTTTAGCAGTGAGGTTAATTAATCCTTAGCACATAAGAACATAAGAGTGGCCAGACTGGATCAGACCAAAGGTCCATCTAGCCCAGTGTCCTGTCTGCCCACAGTGGCCAATGCCAGATGCTCTCAGAGGGAATGAACAGAACAGGGAATCATCAAGTGATCCTTTCCTTGTCACCTATTCCCATACTCTGACAAACAGAGGCTAGGGACACCATTCCTACTCATCCTGGCTAATAGTCATTCACTGTGCTCTCTGAACTTATCTAGCCCTTTTTTGAACCCTATTAAAGTCCTGGCCTTCATACCATCCTCTGGCAAGGAGTTCCACAGGTTGATTGTGCACTGAATGAAGAAATACTCCCTTTTGTTTGTTTTAAACCTGTTTCCCATTAATTTCATTTGGTGACCCTTAGTTCTTATGTTCTTATGGGAACAAGTAAATAAGTTAGAACAACTTTTCCAGGAGCATAGAGGCTCCTCAATTCTTCTCACTTGAAGCCTGGAAACAGAGACTGGCCATCTCTCTGAGGGGTGTGTTTTAGTTCCACCAGCAGCGATCGCGGGATGCAGGGATGTTCTCCAGTCTGTTATACGCCAGGTCAGATTAGAATGTCCTAATGGTCCCTAGTGGTCTTAAACTCTGCTTTATTTTAGCTCATTTTTGAACCCCAGAAGAGATTTGCTTTGGTTCCTTGAGGAGTTTGCTGTGGCGATTAGGCTTTAATAAAGTATTTCCCATCACCAGTCTACCAGTGGGTTTAATCTTTTTTTTCCCTTTGCATCTTCATAGGTAAAGCCTTCCCTGTAGCTGAGATTTCACCCAGCACGGCCTACACCCGGCACTTAAGAGTTTTCTGGAAGGTTCTGCTCGCCTGTGCTACTTGGTGGCTCCGTAAGGAGAGAACCAGCTGAGCTGAGCCCAGCACACTGCACCAGAGAAGAGGGGAGGATGTTAACATCTCTGGCATTATAAACTATCCCCCCAACCTATCACTGGCACCTGTGGCCTTCAGGACCACAGTGTCTGTGCACTGTGATGGCCAGCCCTCGGATTGCTTAGGCACCAATCAGTTCCCCTGGAGAAGGCTGTTTGGCTAACGGCTCTCGCAGGGCCCAGGTGAAGCCATGAGCCACCAGCTGTTTCCCTAGGAGGGTGGGGACACACTGCATCGTCCCCTGTATACTCACCCCTGCACATCTGTGGGAGGTCAGGGAAACACTAGTAGCCCCATTTTACAGATGGGGGACTAAATACAAAGAGACACTCCCAAGGCACCTGCAGAACAGTGCCATGCTGAACCCAGTTAAGGCTAGTGCCATAACCACTAGGCCATCCGCCCTGGGGCTACGATACCTCTGCCGCAGCTAGATCCAGGGTATCTGCCCCTCCCTTTGGAGCAGCAGGTGCTGGAGGTGCCCCTCCCACCCCGCCCACGTCGGGCAGATGCCTTGTTCCTGAAGCTGATCCCAGAGTAAGGTTCGCAGGGTGGGCAGAGGAGTCAGAAGCCGGGGTGATTGCAACGGGCGAGCTCCCTTCTGCTTAAAGACGTACAACCCCCTCCCCCCCACTCCCAATCCGCGCCAGCAGAAATGTTGGGGGGGGGCAGTAACAGTAGATACATTTTTTATTAAATCATGTTTTGCCTTCTTCATGGGGGGAGGGGTGGCTAAATCTTTCCTCCAATAAACTGACTTGAGTTTGTCCCTTCCTGCTACCTACCTTCATCCCACCTGTCCTGTAGCCCACTTCTCCCCCGCCCCCCGCCTCACTCTCCTGCCTTCTGGTCAGTCTGCCCCCTCCCGGCCTTTCCAAAGGGCGTCAAGGCCGACACATTCATTACGTCCCATCTCTCTCTCTTTCCTTCTCCAGTGCTGGCATTGTTCTGAAGGGCCTCATTAATCAAAAGGCAATTAATTCCCCATCACGGGGGCAAATAACAAATACAGCCGTTCAACGGCCTCCTTCCGCAGGGTTTGAGCGTTGCTCCAGTTCCTGCAGCAAACGAATGATTAAACACTCCATTAACATCCCGCGTGGGGGGAGGGGCGTCGCCCCCATTATTTATCTTGGTTGCCATGGAGACAAATAGTTCAGAGGTGCCGGAATCATTTTGGTAACAAATGGCGCATGGACGCTGGGTGAATGCGAAAGTGGGAGAGCGCGAGGAGCTAGACACGCCGCGTTTCCCAATGGGAGGAAGCAGAAGCATTTTTCAGGTAGGGTCTGAGTGGACCCAGAGTCCCTCTTGTCACAGCCTGGCTTTTGACCCTTGCGTTGTTGTTGACCTACATGAATATTGGAGTCAGGGGCGGCATAGAAGAGGCAGGAGAAGGCGTTGCCTTCCCGAACTACCGCCTGGCCCCAGCCAGGCTCCGCCCCCAGAGTGCCTACGGTAGGCATACTGTGGGGTCTGGGCTCTTTGGGTGTGGGGCCTGGGCAAAAGGGGTGGGGCTGGAGTAGGGTGGGACTGGGGGCTTGCTTCCCCCGTCAATGCAGACACTGTGAATGGGCGACAGAGGAGGAATCTCTTCATTACCTGGCATTGGCCACTGTGGGCAGACGGGATGCTGGGCTGGACGGACCTTTGCTCTGACCCAGCCTGGCCGCTCTTAAGACAAGCAGGGAAACCAGCTGAGACTTTCCTTGTGATTGATATTTCCCATCATCAATACGGTCTCTCAGATTTTGACCGGTGGACCGTTCCTCTATGTTCACTCGGGCTTCCTCTTTTCCAGCCCTATACCTCGGTCCTCTGTGTCGGCGGCAACTTGTTGTGCTCTCACCAACCCTCTCTGGAGACGGGCTCGCGGGGACTTTGGACCTGACCTGAGCTGGTGAACCAAAACTTTGAGCAAGTTTGGAGGTGGCTCTGTGTCACGCCAGCCCCTCTCTGGCTTTATCAAAATGCTGTCTGAGCACAGAAAGATCTCACACGAGGAAGCTGTATCCCAAGGCCATTAACGCATATTGATTGTGAAACTGTCCATGGCTGGCATCTTTGACCTGGAATGGATACCTGGGGGAGAAGGAGATGAAAGAAAGCAACCTATATGTCCCTTGGCTTTCCTGGATGTGCATATACCCACTCCCCCACCTTCTTTCTTTCTTTCTTTCTTTCTTTCTTTCTTTCTTTCTTTCTTTCTTTCTTTCTTTCTTTCTTTCTTTCTTTCTTTCTTTCTTTCTTTCTTTCTTTCTTTCTTTCTTTCTTTCTTTCTTTCTTTCTTTCTTTCTTTCTTTCTTTCTTTCTTTCTTTCTTTCTTTCTTTCTTTCTTTCTTTCTTTCTTTCTTTCTTTCTTTCTTTCTTTCTTTCTTTCTTTCTTTCTTTCTTTCTTTCCTTCCCTTCCCTTCCCTTCCCTTCCCTTCCCTTCCCTTCCCTTCCCTTCCCCTCCGTCCTTCAATAGGTATGAATTCTGGTGTATAAAATGTAGACCCATTTAACCTTTTTCAGCCAATTAACAAATGATCCTTGCACATAGGGAACTTAATTGTAAACTATTAAATTGGTTATTTAATCGCTGAGGCTACCAAAACCAATAAACACTATTCCTATGTTCAGCTGGTGCCATTAATCACAGTGCATCACAAAAAAATAATTTTATGCTATTAAAGCAATTACCGTGTAATCATTTACGTTAGCGAAAATTCATTTATCTTTATTATTCAATCAGGTCTCTTTCAGAATGCATTATTTTTCATCTGATCTGACATTTCAATGAGATTTTAAAAAAGATTTGACATTAAAAACTTTTAAAATGCTTAATTTGTGAGATTTGATGAAATCAACGAACTATTTCTTTAAAAGCGCATTTTATTTTGGGGGGAAAACATCGGGATTTTGTCATTTCCACCAAATCAGAGTTTTGCTGGATTTGTATGTATACGGCTGGATTCGCAAGGGCTTGGGACCCCATCTGGCTCCAGTTTTTCCAAAGAGATAAGCCCCCACTCGGGTTCCTACAGAAGTGGCTACATGTGGCCAGCACCAACTTTTCATTGTGACCCCGCAGGGTAGATTTTAAAAAGATCAGCCAATGTGCATGCGACACGCGCCCATCTCTTGAAAGAGTGGCCCATCTGACTAGATCCATGATCCTTGCACAGCTGGTGGCCCTGCCTCCCTGCTGGAGTGGGATGCCAATTAGAAACTCGGTTGGGTTACAGAGCCATGGGGAACAGCTTGAGTAGGAGCCAAGCCTGCCCAGAGGCCTGGGAATTTCAGATCCCGGGATGCAGATCAGGCTCTTATCTGCCTATAAGCAAAATGAAATTGACCCATCAGATTTCATCTTCCGAGAGGAGAGGAGCGAAGCGCAGAAAGCAAACAGCACTGGCAATGAACAGTGCATCCTGTTATTGAAATTACTGGGGGTTAATAGTCTCAGACTTTTTATAGCCGTGATTTTGTTTTGACGGTTTTCCTTTTAAACGTCCCCCACAGGAATTGCTGGCTGTGGTCTGATTCTCACTGGCATGCAGTTTGTAGACTGGACTGCTGAACACTGTGTCAGTGGCTGTACCGGATTTTCCATGATCCCCATGATCCGATTAACTGGCATGTAGTAGTGACTTTATCTTCACATCATCCCTGTAAGGTAGGGAAGGGTCATTATCACCCTTTTGCAGATGGTGAATTGAAGTGCCGGCAGCTTAGGTTATGTGACCAGGGTCACATGGAGGGACTGTGGCAGGGCCCGGTGGCTGGTGCTTTTGAATCCCATTTCTTCATGGCAAGAAAGTCTGTTGAGCGTTCTGAAGTCAGATGCTCCAAATGAGCATGGAAACAGGATTCATCTTCTGCTGCCTTTTAGTCCATTCCACACAGGTTCAGAATCTGGTTCAAAGTATTTCCTCGTGGGGAGGGGGGAGGCGGATCATTTTTGATGGGGCCCATTCCAAGATTTTGGGAGGTGGCCAAGGGCTGCACTTTTTTATGGAGGGTACGTGAGGTCTGGGAGGGAGGCTGGGTGCAGAAGGGAGTTTGGGTGGAGGAAGGGGTTGTGACCCGGGCAGGGGATTAGGGTGCAGCGTCTGGGAGTAGGCATGGATGCAGAAGACTCTGGTCTCTGGAAGGGATGTAGGAGCGGGTGAAAGGTCTGGGAGGGAGCTGTGATCTCGGGTAGGGGGGAGGAGGGTGAAGAGGATTTGGCTGATGACTGGGACAAGGGATTGGAGTGCAGGTTCCAGGAGGAGTATGGGTGCAGGAGGGGATTCTGGCCTAAGGTAGGAGTGTAGGAGGGGGTGCAGGGCCTGGAGGGAGTTGGGTGCCAGAGGGGTGGGGTGCCAGCCCAGAGGTAGGCTCTGGCCGGGAGGCACTTATCTAAGCAACTCCCAGCCAGCAGCCCTCTCAGGCAGGCTTCCCTGCCTGCCAGCAGCCCCCATCTAGCTGTTCCATGTGGCTTTCTGCATCATGGGGGAGGCTTCATGTCCTGCCGCTGCCCACAGCAAAATCTCTCAGGTTCCATTGGCTGGTTTCTGGCCAATAGGAGCTGAGAAATTTTGTTGGGGGCGGGAACAGTACAAAGCACAGAGAGCCACAGGAAGCAGCCAGGCACTTTGAGTGTGCTGCTCCCTGCCCTGGGGGCGAGTGGGCCAGATTAAAGGCTTGGCAGGCCAGATCCAGCCCATGGGCCATATCTTGCCATATCTACATCTGCCCAGAAAATCTGGCCCTGCCACGTAAACTGACACCCTTCCCTGCTGTCACTGGTGACTGGGAGCTACCAGCACCATTCTTGGTGCCCTCTGATACTGTTTAATTCCCTTTAGTTCTTCACTGCTTCCCTGCACCCTGATGGAGAAGGACCCGCATCACCAGCAAGGTCCCTTTCAGAGCGTCGCTGCTGCCAGTTCCATCCAGACTGGGCTCATGCCCTGCCTGCTTGAGGCCATTGTGAGTCTCTCTGCATTGGCCGGGAGATTAAATTGTGCTTGCTGCAGCCTGCTTGAATGACACACCACTTAATTCATCTCAATCAAGAGCCTGGTTCACTCTCAGCGTCATACGCTGCAGCAAGTGGTTCATAAAAGTGTCTCCGTCCCCCTCCTCCACCCCCAACAAAGGAGAGGGATGCAGCCCAAGGATTCAGGGCTATGTTACCGGGGGAGGGGAGCCGTGTATTGAGCACTCAGGGCAGGTCACGCTCCCAGCAGAGAAGTGCTGCAGGTTGGCAGTGCTAAGAACGATGGTGAGTCCCTGGGAGTGTGGATGGGACAGAGGAGATTCAGCTGAGATGACACTGCTGGGGGCAGCAGAGAGGAATTAGGGATGTGACTGGTTAACTGGTCAATCTGTAAGCTTACCAGTTCCAGTTAACCAGTAGGGACTGGAGCAGCTCCCCACGAGCTGCAGGCAGGGCACTGCTCCAGCCCCATGGGGCCCACCACAGGCAGGGGCTTCCCCGACTAGTCAGCTATACCAGCCCTTGTCCACAGTGGAGCTGCTCCAGTCCAGCAATTGCGCCCTCTCACCTGCTCCCCCTTTAGTCAGTTAATTGATTAACCACAACGTTCACAACATCCCCTGGCAAGGAGTTCCATAGATGACTGTGCATTGTTTAAAGAAATACACTCTCATGTTTGTTTGAAACCTGCTGCCCATTAATTTACTTGCGGGACCCCCTAGGGCCTCCTAACCTGGCTGTTTCAGGCAGAAGCTGGCATGCTCCGGAGCTGTGGATAGATGGGGGCCCCTCTGCACCGCAAGTGAAAGGTCATACAGGGCCATGGGTGTGGGGAGTCAGAGGCAATGGCTCTTACAGTTGTGTCCTTCCCTTTTTCCAAGAATCCTGACCACCAGCTCAGCGCCTCGCGGACACACCTGCAGTCAGTTTAAAGAGGCTTTAGAGCGTTGCTAGAATAGCACAGGCCAGCTAATGCTGCTGCGACCAATAGCAAAAGTGATTCTAGGCCAGCAGTCGGTAGCCCAGCATTACCCGTTTGCCATGTGCTAGAACGAGGGACCATTCTGCTGCATGTAGCAGAACTCAGCATGGGGCTGGATCTCAGGAGCCGTGGGTCCAATTCCTGATGCTGCCAGGCCATGTCTACACTAGGAAACTATTTCAAAATTACTAAATTCGACATAACTCTGAATTTAACAAAATCAAACCAGCGTGTCTGCACTACAGGGAGCCTCAAAATGAGTCTGAGGCAGGCTCTGTTAATGCGGACGTGCTGCCCCAGGAAGCACTGGGGAGTCATGTGTTTGACTTACTCGGGGGAGTGGTTATTTCGAGATGACGGCCCCGGAGCATCCACACTACTGCTGGTTCAGAATCAGAGTTACTGCTGATGAAAAGCAAGAGTCCAGATTACGGATTAAGTGGCCCCTTATTTCAAAATGGTAGTGTGAATGCTCCACTTATAAATTTGACCTAAGGGGGGTTATTTCAAAATAAAAGCCTAGTGTACACCAGGGCCCACAGACTACACTGCACCCAGAGCTCGAAATAAGCTATGCAATTTGAGCTATGCAATTTGAGCTATGCAAATTGCGTAGCTTATTTCAAGTCAGTTTTGAAATAGCTTATTTCAAATGTTGGCACTGTTTATACAGCACTTATTTCAAAATAAAGCATTATTCCAAAACGTCCCGTACTCCTCGTGGAATGAGGTTTACAGAGACTTCAGAATAGCGTGTGTGTTATATTTTGAAATAATGGGCACGCTCAAAAGACGAGGAATAGCTATTTTGGGATACCTCTGGTGGAGTAGATGTAGCCATGACCTTCAATCGCTCTGTGCCTCAGTTTCCCTAATGCTAATGGGTTTGTCCATTGCCTAGTGGACCCCTGATCCTATGCTGTCAGACATCAGGAAATGGGCAAGTCTCTGTGGTCCCATGACTGCCCTGTTGTTTGCTGGAATAGCGACCTTGGTGTTTCCCTATGCTAACTTTTCTTCCAAACTAACTGTTTGCAGGGTCAATGGGCCACTCTTTGGTTGGTGCTTCCCCTGTGACCTGTCTGACAAGTGCTTAGCTCTGGCAGTCACTGGCGGACACGCGTCTCCCCACTGCTTGAAAGGGCACTGCCGGGAAGGCAGTGTGATAGTGCCTGGTGGTCGGTGCAGACAGCGGTTAGAATCGCTCTACCCTCCCCCAGATGGAACCCGGGGGCTGGCTTACGCACAAAACCTGCCCCCGTTTAACGAGAGAGTGCCCCCGGTTTGGCTGCTCCTCCACAGCTGGGCTCATGAGCCGCGGGCTTTGGGGAGGCATCTGGGAGCCCTGCAGTGAAGGAGAAGCTGCTCCGGGGAATCAAACCCTGCAGGTTAGAGGAAAGGGATTTTAGAATGACCTTTACCAGCTGGCCCAGAGCAATCCGGAGAGCAGACTGGCACGCCTCCTAATGGGTCACCGAAAGGCCATCTGGTGAGACAAACAAACCTTTACCTTGTTTCAAATTAGGAAATTCTAGGTAGCCTGCGCTAGAGCTTGCACTGCCTACGGTGCTCCAGCTGGCAGAGAAACAGACGTGAGGAAGAAGGGAACCTATTGGCGTATTGATCACCTTTGCTTTTCTTCTTTCTCAGTTCAGTAAGCCCAGGGTGCGGAGGCCGGCTATCAGCCATGTCTGGGCCTCTTCTTTAAAAGCCAGAGATGGGGAAAGGAGCCTGGTTACTGCCAGCGTGCCACGGGGCTCCGGCGGAGATCCCCCTCCACCCCCTGGTGCCCGGGGCTGTTGCCACAGATGGAAACAAAATCCTCCAAAGACACCCGGTGAGGGGCTTGCAGCACCGTGATGTCACGCAGCAGCTCAGCGCTGGTGCCAGGGCAGGAAGCCGGGGAGGGATTCTGGGGTGTCCTTGAGCACTGTGGGCTGCAGGAAAGGGGAGCTGCGACAGCATGAAGTCAGAGATAGACCCTAACCCAGGGACCCAGGGTTAATCAGGGCCATGGGGGCCATGGTACTCCTGTCGGAGCTGTGTGCTGCTGCCCTTCTCGGACTCACCCCACCCACCACAGCCCGGCAGACCTGGGAACCTGCCGTCCATGTGCCCAGTGCGAACTGGTGCTTCTGACGTTGCTTATACCAGCTTGACCCTTCCACCTGGTGCGAGGGGCTACAGCAGAGATGTCTCACTCCAGATATTTTGAGCCCCACTGGGTGAGGGGGCGTCTCAGTGGACGTACCAGCAGGGCTTTGAGCGAGGGGGAGATGAGAACTATAGAAATCCAGGGCCTGCTGATTGCAGTTGGTACAACTCAGGTGGAAATTCTGCTTGGATGCCTTGGTCCCTCTGAACTATGTTCTTCTCCCTGGCTCTCCCCAAGTCAGACCAAAATAGCCTTACGTCTACACTGGCATGATTTTCCGGAAATGCTTAAAACGGAACAGTTTTCCGTCATAAGTATTTCTGGAAAAAGCGCGTCTACATTGGCAGGATGCTTTTCCGGAAAAGCACTTTTTCCGGAAAAGCGTCCATGCCAATGTAGACGCGCTTTTCCGCAAAAAAAGCCCCGAACGTCATTTTCGCGATCGGGGCTTTTTTGTGGAAAAGAAATCTGTGCTGTCTACACTGGCCCTTTTCCGGAACAGTTTTCTGGAAAAGGACTTTTGCCCGAACAGGAGCAGCATAGTTTTTCCGGAAAAGCACTGATGATTTTACAGTAGATTGTCAGTGCTTTTCCGGAAATTCAAGGGGCCAGTGTAGACAGCTGGCAAGTTATTCCGGAAAAGCGGCTGATTTTCCGGAATAAATGGCCAGTGTAGACAAAGCCCAATTGGAGTAACCAGCCTGTTTGTTATCCATGCAGGGCTCTGGCTATGTCTCACCATGCTGCTGTTCTCCTGAGTAAGTCCTGGCATGGTCCTCTCTGGAGCCGCTTGTCTCTCACCCCTCCCATCCGCCCTCCAAATATGTGGAGCAACTCTTCCCTGCTTTTCCAGAAAGATGCCTCCATAACCATGGACCTTTCCCTAACGCCACCGAGCCAAGCCATGAGGCATAAGAAAACCTGCCCCTTCCGCACCATGGAGAGTTCACGGAGTGGCAGCCGCCTCCTAGAATCCCGGCAGAAGGCAGAGTGATGGTGTGATGGACCGGGCCGTGTCTGGGCACAGCGGGGCTCCTTACAGCCCCCAGACTGGTGACCTCTCCACACAGGCCACAAACCAGTCCCACAGAGAGCTTCAGCTGCCTGCCTGAAGCCTCCCGAGAAAAACCCCTCCGACACCCCAGCAATATCCGTGCCCCAGATGGCCCCGGGCCTATACACAGGAGGGGGGGTCCTAGCACCCAATCCCACCTACCCCGAACAACTTCTGTCCGGTTCCAAGAAACCAGCCACAGATCCCTGGTCAATTTACCCTCTGGACCTTACCCACAAATCACGCTGGGCCAATTCTTTAGAATCTATATCTAAAGGTTTATTATTACAAGAAAGAAAAGCATGAGAGTAAGGTTGTTAAAGGATAGTACGTTACATGCACCGAATCTCCCAGTTCTCGATGCAGGCTCTAGCAGAGATGTTACAGCTGCTGGTTTAAAAGTTCTTATTGCACATCCTATGATCAGGATGGGTTCACAGGTCTTCCAGGCTCTTCGATCCCTGCAGTGCTGCCTCTGGGATGAAGTGCTGAGCTGAGAACAAAATGGCATCGACCGCATGGCCTCTTTATACCTCCTTCCTGGCCTCTTCTTGTGTGCAGCCGGTCACCTGGCCGTCAGCCTCTCTCTGCTGGCAGCTCTTAGGTCTCCGCCCTCATGCTTTAGGTGTGTCCTTGGCCCATCGAGTGCCATTGTTCCACAGGGCCTGGCTACTCAGCCTGTCCATAGCAATGCTTAACCACATTCAGAGAAATATTCAGCTTCCACACAGATTACAGATTCCTATCTACACACACAGACATTATATACTCACATAAACAGTGTACACAGGATCAGCAAACAATAAGCTCCCATTCAATACCCCACATGGCCCCCCTTTATACCAATTTCTGGGGCCAACACCCCCACCTAGAGGTGCAGCAGTGATCTGGCTGCTTCCCTCCAATTCGGTAATGTGACAGATGGGTTCCAGGATGTTTGGTTGGTTGATTCAGTTTGGGGCCCCCTATTTTCTCATGAATTTTCCTCCAAACCCTTTGTTTCCCTTTGAGCAAAGGATGTGTCCATTTCCTCTTGCACTTTGTCAATTTTCTACTGTGCGTGTTAATGAAAATGGCGTGGGGTACGCGCGCGTGTGTGTGTGTGTGGGGGGGGGGGATTTTAGTTAAAATGTATCCTTGGGAAAAATGCATTTTTAGGCCAGCTCTATTCGTGGGTTCATTACATCAGAGTCCTTTTGGCCAAGGCAATTTGCAGGCTGTTTAATAGATTCATGGACGTTAAGGCCAAAGTGGAGTAACCAGAAATTCTTGGCTAGGAACAACAGGCAGCAAACAGGCAGCAAACTAGGAAGCTGCCTTTCCTCTTTGGCAAGAGCCTGGCACAATGAGCTGGGCATCCCTCTCCTCCACAGTGGCTTAA